CATAATTGTCTGGCATGTGGTGAAAGAGCACATATTTAACACTATAGGATTACATACTTCATGGTAACCGTCATCTTAATGTTTCACTAAATAGTGTTTTTTTTGTTTTTTAAAATTCTCTTTATTGAGTTATAAAGTAAGAGAGTACAAAACAAAGCCTATTAGGGCATATCCCAGAGAATAATAATAACAAAAGAGCAAACACAAACAAGATAAAAACATAAAAACACAAAATAGGGTAAAAAACAACAACACACAAATGACAACCACACTCAAAAGAAATCACAGGGCATATACAGGTTGAGTTTCAGTCATAATAGCATTCAGACATCACACTCAACCTGATCAAATCAATGTTTTTGGTAGAAATTATATTTCTACATGCGCAAATTAATTTACTAGCAGGTAGGTAGTAGAGTAATAGGAAATCCAACAGGACCCACACCAGTCACATGACATACAATGCTGCTGATGATCTGTGTAAATGAATCACTAATATGATAGGGGCAATGTTCAAAAAAATAATAGCAGTGTGGAGTAGTTCTATTAGTGAGGTCATTCAATCGTTTGGAAAAAACATGAGTTGCAAATATTGCTCCTTAAATTAAGGAAGGAAGGCAGTAATTGGTGTAACATCCTGGTTTACAGTGCATTTCTCTCTGAAGAATTCCATGAGGAAAAATGGGTCGTGACACCAGACATTGTTCAGAAGAACAGTGTAATCTCACAGATTAAAAAAGTCACACATTGGAGAGGGGTAAAAACATATAAAGAAATGCAGAAAATGGATCAGGCTACACAGCTAAAATATGATCGCAAAATGCCTTAAAATTGGCAACCAAAACCTGACAATACGTGGAAGAAAAGCGAAAAACTACCATTCAAATGGATAGAAGAATATCACGTCAAATGGCAATGACATCAGCCAATAAAAAGAACAATCAGCCTCCAGGAAGATCAAAGAAGGTGTAAAGGTCACCTTGTGTAGTACTGTATAACAATTAGAAGACGCCTATGTGAAGCGACAAGCTATCTGCACAGAAAGCCCCCGCATAAGATCCCACTGTTGGAAAAAAGACATGTGCTGAAGAAGTTACAATTTGCCAAAGAGCTCACATCTTACAGGCCTAAGTAAATAGAAATGGAGACACACATTTTTTGATGAGCGCGAGTGCGAGTGCGCGCGAGTAAGAATTGTATCTGTATTTGGGTCTAGTGGCCGGAAACAGTTAGTGTCAGTCGAAGCCACCTGAGGCAACTGAATTCAAGCCACAGTACATACACGTGAAAAACAGTGAAGGCATGGGTTGCGCAAGCATCATTATATTGGAGATGTTTCCTCATTCACTACGGTGATGTGCCTAAATTTATCACATACCAGTGGATCATGGAGTCACAGTTTGAAATACATCAGAATACTTTTGAAGAGGTCATGCTGCCTTATGCTGAAGAGTGAAAATGCCCTTGAAATGGGTGTTCCCAAGACACAACGACCCAAAACACACCAGTAAAATGTTCAACATCTGGTTCCAGACCTAACAAGATTGTATTTTTTTTTTCGTTATGCGAGTGGGCCTAGACCCAAATCCCCGGGATCATTAATCCAATAGAAAAACTTGTGGTGTGAACAACAAAATGCAGTTTCAGAGAGGCAAAACCAAGAAATAGAGAACGCTAGTGGAAATGTAGTCCAATCATCCCTGGCTGGAATACCTGTTCACAAAGGTGCCATAAGTTGGTTGCACCTACCATTGCAACACACGATGTACACGCAGATTCTCAAGTAACAGTGCTTTAAATACAACTAATATACTAATGAAGTGATTTAAAGGACAAGCAGCAAAATCTTACAAACATTTTATTCAGTTTTATGTAGTGAAAAGTTTGAGTTTGCGTAAGAAGGATACAAACACCTGCTATTTTTTTCTGAACAGACATAATAATTCACTTTGTCTTAAATTTTTTTAGATGGAACAAAACACAAATTTAATATATTTATTCTTCATGTTTTATGATTTGGTATAGAATGTTTAGTGTTCCCAAAGCAATATTGTGTGGTATGGACATAAAAGCTAATAAGAAGATTTTGAGACTTTATTCACTTTTTTCCAACCCACTGCTATTATATTTGAACTCAAACTGTATGTGGACAGACAGAACAATTCCCACAGAAGAGCACAGAACAACATCTCACGACTGAGGAACGATAGACGGTAGATACCACCACTTGATCCTAATCAGGGCTAGAAGGGAACCAACTCAGAGGAGTCAATCCAGATATACCACACCACCTTCGTAAATTTTAGCGGGACAGACCCCTCTGGATCATAAGGTGGTATTTAATATAGAGGAGAACTGCATTGACTATATTGTATTTCCAGAAACTGGAATGTAGGAAGCATGCATGAGGGGGCTTTTCACACTTTAAGAGGTATCGCGCTTTCTGCGGCATAAAAAAAAGGCAAGAAAGGCAAATCAAGGTTCTCTCATGGTGGCGAGAGACAGCCAAAGGACTGAGCCAAAAACCCCAAAACAAACAAATCCATCCATGGTTAAAGATAATGATAATGATACAAAAAATTGATGGTTATAAGAGGTAATACCTGTCACACCTACATCTGTCCACAATATCTCTGGATAACCGGGGCATCACCAGAAGATATGCAAAAAATGTAGCAGTATCCTCAGGGCAACACCAACAACCAGAAGATGTGTGCTAAGGAACATCTGTTGCAACGCCTTCTGAGGGGTATAATATAATTCATATGTAGAAATCTTAAACTGAAATCAACTACCAATTAGAGTAGAAACCAGTTGCTGCACAGATGCGTCACTATAATGACCTTCCAATCCCCAGAGAGCCAAAATCTGGCACCCATCCACATAAATAGAGAAGAGCGGTTTTCCTCAAGGAATCCATCCCACAGCATGGACTCACAGAAAGCCCTATCTCTCACAAAACACTGTAGTGTGACCTACCCCTGAAATTGTCGATGATAAAGCATGACGATAGTTTGAATGTATCTAAAAAAAATAGGAGTTTGGATAAGGGCAAATTGGTGCTTTTAAAGGAATCAAATGTTTGAGCATGACCTGTTCAGTCTCCAGGGTATGGACCATAGGTATGTGAAACTTGACGCAGGGAAACGCAGGCTTGCAGATATGTATATAAACAATAACGAATAATTATTAAAGACTAACAATACAAACATAAACGCAGTGCAATACTAAAACATAACAACATAAATGCAAACGAACCCAAAACAAACCACCCCACAAAGTAACTAATACATACAATTGCAAAGCGCGTCGTCAGGCAGGCGGGGTCAATAACAAATCTCGCAGGTAGGAACATGGAGAACTAGGCAGAGAGTAGTCAGGTGTCACCGAGCCCGAAAAAACAGCCAACTAAACAGGAGCAAAAGGTACAGGGTCGGTCAAGGCAGAAAGAAATGGTCCGGGTCACAAAGCCAGGGATCAACCATGAAAACTCAAGCGAGAGGTCAGGATCAGTGCAGGGTCAGCAAACGAATCAGTAAAAAAACCAGACAGGGACACTGAACAAAAACAGGAATGCTAAGGTAACAAGATGGACAGTCGTGCCCCAGGGAAAAACACAATAACAAAAACAAGGCCCAGACTGGCAAGTCCTGGCCTCCCTAATAAAAAAACACCTAAAAAATAATCACTTCAGGAGTCAATGGCTGGCTGCAGGGTTTTGAGTCCTCTGATTGCTGGGAGCACACTTTGGTCCAGCCCTGGTACTGCCAGCCCACAAATTGCAGGTGAGTTCCCCACCATTACTGGCAAGTCCCTTCATGAAAAACATGTACCCCCCCTCAAGGAGGCGGCCATCATGGATGCTCCAAACCATCCATAGCTGGGCAAAATGTTCCACCGCCCACGGGTCTTGGTAAACTGGCGCGGGGGGGGGAGGGATATCAAAGACTGGGCGAGCATCACGGCTAAAAAGGGACTCCGGGCAGCGGCACATCGGCGGGCTGGACACCGGGCAGCGGCACATCGGGTCAAAAAAAGGACTCCGGCGGCAAAGCGTAAACATCGGGCTTGGAACTCCACTGTGCGGCGAAAACAAGAAAAGTCTGGCTGACTACCGGGCAGGCGACACACTCGGAGCTGGACTCCGGAGCTAATTCCGCACATCCAGGCTGGACAAAACTGGGCGGTACGGTCACATCGGGCTGGAAAGCCGGCAGCGCAGGCCCCCATAATCGGTGCAGGCTACTACCGGGCAGAGTCCACATCTAAGAGGCTGGACTCCGGGCAGATGGCACATTCGAAGCTGGACTCCGGGCAGAGGCACATCGAGCTGGACTCCGGCAAGAGGCACATCGAGCTGGACACCGGATCACACAGGCGGAGCAGCAGGCACCGGGCCACCAGGCGAGCAGCAGGCACTGGGGCTCCCCGAGCGGAGCGGCAGGCACCGGGGCCACCAGGCGGAGCGACAGGCACCGGGCCCCCAGGCGGGGCGGCGGGCGCCAGGGCCCCCAGTGGGGCGACAGGCATCTGGCCCCCAGGCGGGGCGACAGGCATCTGGCCCCCAGGCGGAAGCGACAGGCATCGGGCCCCCAAAGGCGGGGCGACAGGCATCGGGCCCCCAGGTGGGGGCGCCGGGCCCCCAGGCGGAGCGCCGGGCCCTCAGGCAGAGCGGCGGCGGGCACCGGATCACCCCCAGTAGAGGGCAGCATGGGCACCGGGCCCCCGAGCGTAAGCGACAGGCATCGGGCCCCCAGGCGGGTAAAAAAACTGGGGCAAGTGGCGCTGGGCCCCCAGGAGGGGCGAAAGGTTATCGTGGCCCCCAGGAGGGGCGACAGGCATCGGGCCCCCCAGGCGGGCGACGGGCGCCGGGCCCTCAGGCGGGGGCGACGAGCACCGGGCCCCCAGGAGGGGCGGCGGGCACCGTGGCCCCCAGGTAGGGACAGCAAGCACCGGGCCCCCAGGCGGAGCGGTGGGCCGCCGGGCCCCCAGGCGGAGCGGCGGGCGCCGGACCCCCAGGAGGGACGGCAGGCAACCCGGGCCCCCAGGCGGAGCTGCGGTTCGAGGGGGGGGCACCGGGTAAATCAGGCACGACAACGGGCATCGGTCACCAACATGCATCAGGTTTATTTGCTCGCCAGCGGGCACCGCGTCATCTGGGCAAGGCAGTGGGCACCGAGGTCACCAGGCACGAAACAGTGGGTTCCGAAAAAACTGGCATGACCACGGGCACTGGGTCAGACATTTGGATCGTCTGGCTCGACAGCGGACATCGGGTCACCAGGCATCAGGTCATTTGCTCGACAGCGGGCAACGCGTCCATCTGGCAAGGCAGTGAGCACCGAGTCACCAGGCACGACAAGTGGGCTCTGATGTCAATTGTTACGACGAAAAAAGCGGGCAGCCGGGTCATCAGGTACCGGATCGTCTAGGATTGATTAGCGGGCACCGGGTCATCTGGCGTTGGATCGTCTGGCTCGACAGCGGGCATCGGGTCACCAGGCATGACAGCGGGCACATGGGTCACCAGGCATCAGGTTATTTGGCTCGCCAGCGGGCACCGCGTCATCTGGCAACGCAGTTGGGCACCGAAGTCACCAGGCACGACAGTGGGCTCCCGAGTCAACTGGCATGACCGCGCGGGCACTGGGTCAAGACATTGGATCATCTGGCCTGACAGCGGGCATCGGGTCACCAGGCATGACAATCGGGCACTGGGTCATCAGGCATTGGATCGTCCTGGCTCAACAAGCGGGCATCGGGTCACCAGGAATGGACAGCGGGCACTGGTTCATCAGGTACCGGATCGCTTGGATCGACAGCGGGCATCGAGTCAACTGGCCTAATGGAATCATCAGGCTGGATCAGTTCATTAGCTGTGGTAGAAACATCATGCTGGGTAGAGGCATCAGGCTGAATGGAGGCATCAGGCTGAATGGAGGCATCAGGTAAAAACTGGGTAAAAAAGGCATCAGGCTGGGTAGAAGACATCAAGGCTGGGTAGAGGCATCAGGCTGAAAATTGTGGGCGCCGAGGGCACCAGGCTGCACCACAGAAGGCAGGTTCTCAGATGGGAGGCTCACCGGTTTGGATACTGGCAGGATGGAATTGGTTGGAAATGAAACTTTCGCCTTTTTCCTTGTTTTAGTTACCGTAGCACTGTAAGTAAGCGCAGGTTTGTAAACGGATGGAGCAGCTGGAGACAGAGAGGAGCTGAGGAGGATGGAACATGGGGAGGGAACAGTTTGCTACAGAGGACTTCTTTACAGGGTTTAAAGGCAGGATAGGTGCAGCGAGTGGTAACAGGGTACTGACATGCGGTAGATAGCAGGGTATACTTGGCTGTAACTGGAGGTGATGTTTGGGAATGCAGGAATAGAGATTTGAAGAAATAGATTAGAATCAGGACTGGGTTTTTGCAAGCTGACTGAGGCTACGGTGTAACAAAATCTGACCATGTCTGCAGTACGGGTTTAAACAAAGCTCAGCTTACACAAGGCCTGTCTGGTCAAAAGACTGCACTGCGTTAATACAATCCCTTAATACCTGTGGTGAAACATGCAGCATAATGCTCCAAGAAGCAATCCACATCATCCTCTAATAACCATACCAGGGACTCAAAACCTGGTCTGCACTAAATGGTGGCAAAAAGTCATTCCTGCTTTTCAGTGGTACCAGAAAAGCCAACTCTACACCAAACCTGAATCAAAGGTTGCACCTCAGAGAAACTCTGTGCCCTGACACTACGTAGAACATGAGCGATCCGTATACATTCTAGCAGTTGATCCCGGGTATACTCCCTCAGAAGCCTGATAAGCATATTCTCTGTCATCAAAAACCAGCAGCGACAAATACACAACCATCATCAAGATCCATCCTTCCCGAGCAACAAGCCAAGAATGGCTTCCCTGTGCAGCCACTTCTGGTCAGGATTGGCCTTGGTGTAATGTCAGGGCTCCAGGGTATGACCAGAGGTATGTGAACTGACGCAGGGAAACGCAGGCTTCAGATATGTTATACAACAATAAGAACAATTTATTAAAGACTAACAATACAAAAACATAAACGCAGTGCAATACTAAAACATAACACAGTGCAAACGAACCAAACCCCCAAAACCACCCACAGATAACAATACATACAATGCAAGCGTCGTCAGCAGGCCGGGTCAATAACAATCGGGCAGGTAGGAACAGGAGGAGCAGGCAGAGAGTAGTCCAGGTCACGAGCCGGTTACAGCAACTAACGGGGCAGGTAGGAATAAACAGGGGTGTCAGGCAGAGAATGGTCGGGGGGTCACAAGCCAGGGATCAACCAGGAGAAGTCAGCAGAGGTCAGGATCAGGCCAGGGTCAGCAACGAAATCAGTCCAGACAGGGACAGTAAACAGGAACAGGAATGCAGGTAACAAGATACAGGGGCCCAGGACAAACACACACACAATGGCCCAGACTGCAGCTCTGGCCATCCCTTAAATACACCTGCATAATCAGCTTCAAGTGTTTGGCTGGCTGCAGGGTTGAGTCTCCGATTGCTGGGAGCACCCGCTGGCCAGCCCTGGGTACATGCAGCCCACAAGGCAGGTGAGTCCCACCATTACTGCAAGTCCCCTTCCTGAACAATACCACCATCACAGAATATGCTGCAAGTACTTAACATTTTTCAATGCCCAGACCTGAGGGTCAGGAAAAAATAAAAAATTCTTTAAAGGGGGATTCAGCCATAAAGGGGTGTGAGGCGACCAAACTCAAGACTCTAAAGGAAAATGCAACCACCAGCCCTAAGAACCGCTCTCATAGCCAAGGTAATGGGAAGAGGTTGGCCGGACCCCTATATGAAAGTGTTACAGAGGGCCTCATAGGAACCCATGAAGGCTGCCTCCAACACCACAAGCAGCATTGGTCTCATCAGTCACAATCCAGATTGTGCACATGAGAGAGCATCACTGCAAGATAATAGGAATATAGGTCAGGACAGGCCAGCCCCTCCTCAGTCCAGGGTCTCTGCAGCACCTTCAGTTTAAATCTAGGCTGCCTCGAACCCCACAGAAAGAGACTACTGCAGCAAATTGTTTGAAATATTTCCGAGGGAAGGAGTTTCATTTTGACTAAGTTAATCCTACCAATGAGGGAGAGTTGAAGATTAGTCATACATTGCTTCACCCTCAAGAGTAACGGCAAGAAATTTACAGAAATCTAGGGGATTTGATGAAACAATAATACCCAAATATTTCACTGTGGAGGTCCACTGCAAGGGAATGTCAGGATTAAGTAAAATTTTAGCACTCTGGTCTATAGGGAGAATTTTAGTTTTTTCTCAGTTAAACCTTTAACCATTTGCCGCCCGGCCAATGGCCATTTGGCGGCTTCAAATGTGCTTCTGCACTCCGGGTGCACGCCATTTGGCGTGCTCCCGCACATGCGCCATTTGCGCTAATGCAGAGCGGCGCAGCGGCTCGATCTGTCACCGGGCGTTGTACCTCGGACACGGCCGATGACAGATCTGAGTACCGGCCCCCGTTGCAGTACCATGTGACCTGCTGTGACCAATCACAGCGGTCACATGACAGTTGTATACAAATGGATGGCTTCATTCATGATGCCATCCATTGTATACTAGTGCCTAGCTGTGAATGGTCACAGCTTAATCACATGCACATGTCATGTGATTAGCTGTGACCAAATCACAGCTAAGCACATAAAAAAAAAGCTGAATGAATCCATTTCATTCAAGGTAAATGCTTGCTTATAGCAAAGTATTTCTTTGCTATAAGCAAAAAAAAAAAAAAAATACTGATCACTTCCCCAAGTAGTTACAATGTTACTATGGTAACATTGTACTACTTTGGTCATAGTAAATATGAAAAAAAAATGTTAAAAAAAATAAAAAAAGTAATAAAAAATTAAAAAGAATAAAAAAAAAAATATATATTTTTTTTCATACTGTCACCAGTCAGTGTCCCTGTTCAACCGCCATGCCAGTTATATGATGACGCTGTACTGCACTGGTGACAGTATATAAAAAAAAATAGTGAAAATAATTTTTTTAATTTTTTAATTTTCCGAAAAATTATGACAAAAAAAATACAACTTCAAAAAACTCGCCATGCCTCTTATGAAGTACGTCGGACTGTCTACTCTGCAAAAAGGGGTCATTTGGGGGATATCTGTACTATTCTGACATTCTTAGACCTCAAGAAATTAGATTGGCCGTCAGTACTTCAGGATTGATCAATATTCAGATACTATACCATAGTTTGTGAACTCTATAACTTTCCTACAAACTAAATAATACATCCTAATTTGTGTTATTTTCACCAAAGACATGTAGCAGAATACATCTCGGCCTAAATTTATGAAGAACAATTATTTTTATTTGTAAACTTTTATAACAGAAACAAAGAAAAACGTTGTATTTTTTTCAACATTTTTGGTCTTTTTTTGTTAATTTAGCAAAAAATTAAAAACCCCAGTGGTGATTAAATACCACCAAAAGAAAGCTCTAGTTGTGTGAAGAAAACGATAAAAATTTTTAGTTTGGGTACAATGTTGTATGACCGCGCAATTGTCATTCAAAGTGTGAGAGCGCTGAAACTTGAAAAATGGCTGGGCAGGAAGGTGTAAAATTGCACGGTATTGAAATGGTTAAGATTGATAATGGCGAAAAATAAGAAATCAGGGCCAAGGCTGCCTTAAGGGAAGAACCTGGATCATCTTTGTATAAAGCTACTTTCTCTTTAATAGAGCCCACCTGAATGCCCCGGACCTCGAGGGGACATCCGTAAGGCCTGAGCCAAGGGTTCCATTACCAACGCGAAGAGGGCAGGTGAAAGAGGACATCCCTGTCTGGTCCCCCCTACCCACAGGGAAAGGGTCAGAAAGGTCGCCACCCAACTTGATTTGGGCCTGAGGGTCACTATATAAAAATGCTTAACCAGGAACAGAAAAGTTGGCCAAAACCCTTCAGTTCTAACACCTTAGACATATAAACCAAGTCAACAAAGTCAAATGCTTTTTCAACGTCGAGCAGGACCATCACCCGGGAGGATGACTCCACTGAGGGGGAATTGAATATGTGACAAAATGCGTAGCAAATTATTATCAGTAGATTTTCCAGGAATAATTCCAGTCTGTTCTATACAAGAGAGAAGGAAGGAGTTTCCTTATCCTTTGTGCTAAAATTTTTAAATCATAATTCAATAAGGATATGGGTCTATAGGAGGAGCAACGTCAAGGATCCTTACCAGGCTTTGGTATCAAAACAATGTGGGCCTGATACATAGAGGGGGAGGATACCCTGGGCTAAGCTTTCATCGAAAAGATCATAAAGATGTTGTGCCAAATCTGAAATATATCATTTATACCAGTCTCCAGGCAATCCATCTGGTCTGGGGATTTTATTGGGTGGGAATGAGTGAATAGCTGCGTCAATCTCTGAAAAAGTGATATCTTTTGTCAAGTTCAGCCACCTCCTCATCCCCCCGACAAAATGCAACAAGGAGAGGCTCTCTAATCTATCCCCCAAAACCACAGGATCTGGAGGGGGGCGAGGACTATAAAGGGACTGAAAATAACTTCTAAATTCCTGCAGAATCAGCGAATGCTCTAGAAGGAGATCGTCCATAGAGAACAAAAGTCGGAGAATTACTGTCTGTTGATGAGATTCAGCCACTAAATTTGCCAACAATTTACCATTCTTATCACCAAATTCAAACAATCTGCCTGCAAGGAGGGCTGCGTCTCCATGGGACAGGGATGTGAAATGAAGTTCCAGTTCCTGAGGGTCGCAGCCAACCCGGCATAATTTTCCTGAGTAGGGGAAATTTCCAACACAGAAGTGATACAGGGACTGTTAAATGAGTGGGGGGTTGCATATAGGGGTCACGACGGAGATAATAGGGGGTCCCATATTTTCAAATTAAAACAAAATAACGTTGGTTCCTGCAGGGGGCCCAAGAGGGAGATAGGGGAAAGAAGAAGGAGAAAATATAAAAAGGAGGAGGAGATAATTAATTCCATT